TAGCATTTGATTATGTGATGATATATACACATTGAAGTATTATGACGTATCGTAAGACACAAAATGTAAGTGCTGATGTGTATGGACGGTTCTGAGTTTGCATATTTCAGCGGTGCTAATATATGTGTCTAAATGTGTGATGCCTCTCACAAAAAATCAGATAGATACAGTCAATACCACGGTAAATACTTTTTCTTTGGGATGCTGGCAATTTTAACTAAGCAACGGTACAACTCCATCAAGATGTCGAACTCATGATGATTCAGGCGTTTCAACAGCCATACATAGACCGCAATACGAACTGATGTTTGGAGTGTTAAAATATCTTGTAGTGCTGTGGAGGATAATTAACTCCTTTGATGTGGCGGTGGTCGTGTACTTCATGCAAAATCATGTTTTTGAAGCACACCATCCACCCATTAGATTCAGTGTATTAGTCATCGAGTTCGACGATATTACGGTCGCGTAAAACCACCTGCTTGTGTTTGCAGTACATCGCTCTATATCTGTACTACTACTTTAACGCTACCCATCACCAATTATTTCGCAGGACATTGCTGTAGACGGATGGGCGTTGGAGCTACTTCCTCCAGAACACCGAGAATACGCATCGACATGTCAAACAATTGGATTGAACAGCGGCTACTTCTTATCATTCACCGTGTTCCTGTCTTTCAATTCGGCCGAGTTCTGCAATCGGTTCATAAGAAGCGAGCCTTCAGAGTTGGGCTTGTTGCAGTTGGGGTCCTACATGCAATTCTGGGGTCTGTTGAGTATACTTGTCAGCCTTTGGCTGCTCGTGGTGAAGAAAGAGCAGCCCACTAAGGTGGACATGACTGTACACGAGTCGTATAGGTATATTTTGTTTCGCTGTGTCCCACGTTTTCATTTCTACGTCCCCTGCATGATTTATTCAACAACAACCTTGTATCCCCATATGCTTTCATGCCGGCGTGAATATATGTAGGTACAGAATATACCACTCATCGGCTGGATTGCAAACACAAACTTTTCCACAAGCGGTTGCAACTTTGCGTCTGCCTCTGAGCCCCTTCTTCCGCATGCTTCACCTATGTTCCCTCCACGCTATTGCTGTCTTAGACATCGTAGGGGTAGTAAGCATCTATGGTGTTAAATGCAGGGACTGATGGGCCTCTTGCAAGACGCTGATCAACTGTGATGATCGTACTGATTGCTTACAGTAAAATGCACAATTGTTTGCAGGTCTATGTGGCAGGTGATGTCAATGCCGAATGTTCGCCGTCTGTGTGGAGTGCTTTTGTTGTACAAAATCGGTTTCATGGCGAACGATGCTGTGTCCGGTCTTCTTCTCATCCAGAAGGGCTTTAAGAAGGAGGATCTCGCTTTCACGGGTATGTTTTGCATTAGAAAACTCGGCCAAGCTGTACGTTGGATTGAAACACTCGCGACCTATATCTAAGGACTACACGTAAGATGCCGACATTGAAGGTTGGCTGAGTTTTTTTGTCCTCCCAAAACGGAGAGAAACCAGTGTGCACTTCGTCGAGATCAGCACAGTTGCTAGTTTATGTAGCAATGAATTGCTGTCAATATAGCTGCTACTTTTCACTTGTATATCACTGAATTGGGCTGTCCTTCATCCATGCGCGCTGCAGTCTTACTGGACTTCCCCTGTCAGATATTTCTGGGTATTTGGGCCGCAAGGTGGTCCCGGGGTTCTCGGCCTACCCGTCCATGGCTGTATGCACAGGTAACTATGTCTCTGCGCGTCTTTAAATAATGAAGTGCTTTCTAATGTTATCTGAAAGTAGGTATACAAGCAGTGTGTATGTCGCTTGGTGCACGTGGTTGTTTAAAACGTGTTGTCGTGCATCCAGGCTTCCCGAGGGCTCAGACACTCGTAGAGTATCCATGTATACGTTTTTCATTTAAGTCACATATTAACACGAGTGGGCGTATCGGTGTAGGCTGGTTAACTGTCAGTGGCGAGCCAGCAATTTCGCTCCTCGCGTATGCGTGCCAGGACCTGCATCATGATGTATCAACGGCTGCGAACGCCGATCCGTTTTTTGGTTCGCTGTTTAGTTATTCCCTCGATTGTGGCGAATTCGAAAGACGCCTTCCCGTCGACCTGAGCACTTCTTCGCTATTTTGCGACTCATTGTCATACACCAGCTGACAGCCGATGACTTCTACTGCACTCCATGTACGCAGATCCTTCGCCTGGTCATGTGCATAGTTGCCATGCACGTGGTGGCCTCCTTCCCTGAAGATGGGGTGGTGACGAGTTCTTACTTCATGTACGTCCTCTTTTCCATGCTGCTGTCGTCGTTCAGTTCGACAACCATGTTCGTATCGCAGGTATGTGTTGGTTAAGTTCGGATTCGTCAGCCACAGATTGTCGAGTGAACAAATTTATTCATCATGTGTGTGCTTTCTTCATACTACTGTCGCCTATACCCGATGGCAGATATATGTCGCACAATTCAAACATTAGTAGCCAGAAATTGTGTTGTGGCGCGGTCAACTCATCGCATCTAAATTTGCCTGATTTTGAATTTAAGCCAAGAATAGACTTCTTCACCGTGTATCTTCAGGCGCTGGCATACATTGACAATCAATCGATCGCTTTGTAGTGTCTTGTCTGCGTCCGAATTAGCGGATCGCACGTGGAGGTTATTTGCAACCTTCCCATCTAGCCATACAGATTCGCCCATAGCTTACCTACACCATCTAGTTGGTTCACACCCTCACCAATTTGGCTTTTACCAGGGTGCCTTCTTTGCTCGTATCAGCGACGAGAGCATTGGTGGCTCCTACCTCACTCTGCTCAATACAATGTCCAACTTTGGCGGTTCATGGCCGAAGTACTTTGTACTGAAGGTGAGTGTGCGTGTCTCGGTTAGTGCACGATGCAGCTAGCTGGGTTTATTCGGGTGACAGAGGTTTATCGTGTGGTTTATCGCCCCACGGACTCTAAGAAAGGTGTAGTAGTGAATGCAGTATGACCTTTCCGTAGGCAACCATGCTGTACACGCGAGTACATTAAGACAGCGTAAGATCTTAATTCATAGACTCACACGATCGAATCTCTCGATGACGTTCCCTCTACAGCTGGTAGACTACTTCACCATCGCCGAGTGCATGACTCCAGATATGACAGAAGTCGGAGAGTGTGTAACCGACGCAGGTAAGAGATTTCTGAGATATACATTCAATTTCTGGTTCAAGGTGTTGCAGTCACACACCTACACTGTCCGTGATGGTAGTTGCTTCTTATCCTATCTAGGGTTTTGTTTTGTTTTGACCGTCCTACTGTCTGTGGTTTACTGTGTATCGCCCATTGGTGCACTTTGGCACACCTATTCGAGGTAAACCTGTCTACCTTTACGGTTCTACCAGTTGTGCATACTTTTAAATTATAGACCGCTATTCAAACCCGTATCCTCCCTGGATATATTTTTACGTTCATACGCGACAAACAGGCAAGGCACAATGTGGGAAGATCGAAGGAGGACAATGTGTGACCATACAAGAGGGGTACTATCCCGTTAGCTGGGGTTGCGTAACCATCGGATTCATACTGTTCTTCGCCTATGTACGGCCGCAAATGAAGGTGCTGGAGAAGTACACGGTTGACTCGTGGAGTGTCAACTCAAAGGCCAAGAAGAGTATTAGTCGAGAACGGTGATGGGTGTAAATAGATATTTGATATTTAGATTGTAATTTAGGTCCTAAAATTGGAATTAGATCGTAAATTCGGGATTAGAGTGTGTATTGGGAGCTTCTGCAGTGCAAGCGAGTGCCCACGGAGGGGGCCTGTCCTGTGTGAACCAGAGAGTAGCTGCTATGGGATTTACAAGTGGCACACATTTGCAGTAGACTAGATCAATGAAGGAATAAAACATCGGAAGAATGCAATGTTTGGCGTTCGCTGTGTTGGAAGGCGGGATAATCGTGCCGTCTCAGGTTAACGACTAAGCAACGCGAGAGAAAAGCCTAAAAACCCAAATCGACCAGCCCTGACACTTTATAGTCGAGGACGAAAATGATGTAGTGATCCGCACACAGTTTCACATTCAAATGAGTTGTTCTGTGTTAATTAGTACCAACTCCGCGCGAGATTTCGAAGACGAAATTTCCTACATAAAGTTCTCAGCTCAGGTCAGCTAGCCTATCGCTTTTGCATTAGTGTGAGTTGTCTTCTAGATGCGAATCTACGCAGATCCCGCTGTGCTTGTTCAAATCCAGTTCTCCATTTATTCATCGTTAGTCACCACGCTACTGGTTTCGCGCCGCCCTAAGTGGCGCTAGCATCTGCAAGCGGTACTCTCAAATCCAGACCGGAGCGACGCTATGACGCAGCGGCGCACGTTAAATCATGGCCTCTAGCTCGCTAGCCGCGTAATTATTATGGAATGATGGGTGCTATTTACCAAGGTACAACCACATTCTGAACTATTTGTTCGCTTCTGTAGGGGCATTGCCGGAATGCCGAAAGGTCACACACACCTCAAGGCAAGTCACGCGCATTGCATGCATAGAATTGCTTACTCGCTATAAGGCATATAGCCAGATACACTGACTATCTGAAACGAATGACTTAACATACTTACTCCCGTATGTTACATGCCTGATATACCCACTCCCTTGCACAGAATGTCAGATGTAAGCTCAAGAGGCCCTGCATCAGAGCCAAATATGGGAAGGACACATCCCAGTTATTGGCTGGCAGGTGGGGCGGAGTTGAAATTGAGTCCTAATTATATTCCACCGGTCGTAAGTCCACACACTATCACTATCACTCAGACGGATCACTCCCAGATGCGTGCACTCCTGTTCGATCGTCGACGGATTGGGTGCTTCACCAGCTGGCTGGGGCGATGACCTTGACAGGCACCAACTTGTGTGTGGCCACTCTACCTTAAGACTCTGCAAGTCACTCCCAAACAGCACACTAACAGTCACCACGTATTACTCAGAGGCCAAATAGCACAACAGAGCAGCCCGCCGAGCACAAAGATGAAATACATCTCTTCTGTTTATGCTCAGTGAGAGAGTGCTGGCCTTCTCTTCCGGTGAGAAGCACGATGGTTTCTCAGGCCCAGGTGCATACGAAATCCTTACCTGTATAACGGCTCGGTATGGATTGATACTATACGGGCGCGAGCAAGCTTATAAACATCTCGAGCTCTACGCCATAGCGACTGATTAGACTGATAGGACCGTGTGTGTTGCTCACGCATGACATGTCTAATGTAAGACCGGCGAGTTCACTGTGATGACTATTAGTTCGCATGCACGGAGCGGTCGGTGGACGGCCCTTCAGCGGCATACATGGCACATACTTTCTGTTAATTGAAACGAAGCGCACAAACAGATTAATAACTTGGGTTGGAGCTGAAAGATTGTAGCATGGAAAGTGCATACATATAATTGAATAGAACAAGACATACGTACAATTTGAATAGAAGGAGACATACATATATTTTGAATAGAACAAGACATAACAAGACATACGTATATTTTGAATAGAACAAGACATAAAAAGACACGTGTATTATGAATATAACAAGACATCCGTATATTTCGAATAGAACAAAACATACATATATTTTGAATAGAACAAGACACAACAAGACATACATATATTTTGAATAGAACAAGACATACATATATTTTGAATGGAACAAGACACACTGGAAGCAAGCCATACGCAGATGAGCGATTTTGTTGGGTTCTGAAGAATTATTATCATGAAGTTATGAAGAGAATCGATTGATCCGTGAAAGTCTCAACTACAGCACGACACCTACCCAAATAAAAAAAAGGCAGAACTAACTAAAAATAGACTCATACGCAAAGACTGACGCACAAGTAGAGAACAAGTGTTTGAACTTAGTTTGCATGTTCACATACCTCTAGAGCGTAGGACGACACCAGAAGGCCAACGGCGCAGATCAGAAAGACTAACTCTTGTGACATGTCGCCCACTTTCACCAGAGTCAGCATCACCAGAATATTCAGAGGCACTCGGAATAGGTTCATAGTCGTTGAACGTATCTGAGCACAGCCACGGAATGGACAAGTTGTATATCAGTGTGAGAACACGGGACTGCGTGACAAGTGCAATGCATGCTTCCTCCTTGCATTGGATGTGTGCTACATGCACGGGAAGCGAGCAAGAAATGCCTACCAAAGCGACAGAGGTGTTTGAGTATCCAAGCCAATAAATAGGTCAGCCTGGCCCTATAGCTTAGCTGTGCTTCAAATACGCCGGTACTGTGAGCTCCATATGGGATGATTGAACCTTCTGCCAGAAGTGCGTGTACGGGGGTAAACTAATCGTACAAGGTGCGTCACCTCACTATATGCGATAGCTGCAGATACGTAGAAGCCTTGCACATTACATTCCACCACAAGCACACATACACTACCAGCGATGACTGTAGTCATGTAGAAGTCGTATACAAAAACATCCCACTATAATATCGCAGACGACGGACATACATCGTCGTCGATAAATCTGGAGCGCATCATGGATATTGTCGGGAAGTACATTCCTATGCAACACTCATACAGGCAGAACGCCACAAAGAGCAGCAGGTATGCCGATCCCTCGGTGACACCCGTTAGGAAGACCGGCACAAGCATCGTACCCGCGGCGATGGCAAACACCACTCGTGCGAACTCGTGCGCCTTTAATACCTCTGTCGCAACCTGTAGTGTGCGTGGTAAGGCAGTCCATGGGGTGTAGTGAGCCACAGTCAGTGAGTTGTAGTTGTGTCACAGTCATACCTGACTACAGACAGCCAATACACCGCCGCAGAAAAAACCAGATGAAGCGTATCGCGGATCACGCGACGTTCTCACACCAAAAGCGCCACTTCCGATTAAGCGCACATTCGCCAGACCGGATACTGTCTCATTTTGTATCTCAATATATAGAGGAGAGGGGTGGTTCAAAGCTATGTAGCTGCTGCCGAGAGGGACCACTTCAAGGCCACAGTGATACAAGCATAGCTCTCCCTGACTGACGCAGGCAACAGTGAATCGTGCACACGTACCGTAAACACATAGGAGCCCGCCATCTTCCAGACCATGAAGACTGCAAAGACTGAGCCGTGCGAGACGTCTGCCTTGGATTCTTCGAGCGCGGGTGTCCACATGAAGACGAACACGTACATCACACCCTCAAACAATCCCGAGATCATGCCAGTCTGTGGATTATACGGAGGTAGGCGGGAAGTTAACATTAGACGTGGGTCTCCAGACACAGCTTATATACTATGTAGTGTATATTAGTCAGCATGTTGGTGTGCGGGTCATACACAAGCTTGCACACTAAGGGTGCTTGGCGGAACTCACTTAGCCTGCGTTGCTTATGCATGCGAGCCCTACTCAAACGCAGGCGGCTGTACCAATATAACAGAGCTCTAAACAGACTGTTTGTATCATACGGATAAGGCCCGACGACATGGGTAGACCATCCATCCATAGACTTACATATAGAATCTTCTTGTCGCGCATCATGGCCTCCACAGCTTTGTGCAGGTTGTCGTTGACAGTTGCCGTCTGGTTACCATAGTTTTCTCGCCACGTCAACTGGATGACGAGAAATGACACACTCAGAGGTATGATGGCGGCATTAAAAGGGGCCACCAGCGACCATCTGCAAGGAACACAGTGGATCAGTAGATGAACTTATACTCTTCAACTACTAAACAATCTGCAAGGAACACAGTGAATCAGTAGATGAACTTATACTCTTCAACAATTAAACAATCTGCAAGGAACACAGTGAATCAGTAGATAAACTTATACTCTTCAACCATTAAACAATCTGCAAGGAACACAGTGAATCAGTAGATAAAATTATACTCTTCAACCATTGAACAATCTGCAAGGAACACAGTGAATCAGTAGATGAACTTATACTCTTCAACCACTAAACAATCTGCAAGGAACAGTGAATCAGGAGATGAACTTAAAATTTTTAGCCATTAAACACAGGATTGATAGCGAACCAGGCACCTTATAGGCCGCCCCCAGGGCACAACGATTCAACAGTGGGTACGCATGAGATGGCGTAATAGTGCATAAGAAGAGATCACACGGGAAGGTGATGTAGGAACACGCGTATAAAGTGACAGGTGATAAATAAAGCGTAAAACAATACATTCGCATGCACATAAGAGCACATGTACCACTAAAGCGCATACGTTCTCGCGATGAAGTCAGCGGTGAAGCCTGCGACGATGGCCGTCAGCGCATTGTAGAAGGTCGCTTTCTGGAAGAGATCCCGCAACTGCAGGGTGCAACACAAGCATTCAACAGAGACAGAGGACAACTGAGTTGTGTGTGAGAAGTGTGTCATAGCAAGCATTAAACAGAGACGGAGGACAACTGAGTTGTGTGTGAGAAGTGTGTCAAATCAAGCATTAAACACAGACAGAGGACAACTGAGTTGTGTGTGAGAAGTGTGTCATATCAAGCATTAAACAGATACAGAGGACAACTGAGTTGTGTGCGAGAAGTGGGCCTTAGCGATGTATCTCAATCGTACAGACTATAGATATCACGATAAAATGCAAACTTCTGCGCTGTGTGCACACGTGCATGGGAGCAAGGTGGGTTGTGCTCCAGGTACGAGTATATGCTGAGGTGTAGCCTAAGCAGGAGCATACCAATTTATATGGCAGATTCAGATGATTGAATTCGGAGATGGCCCAGGATTCAAACCCCGTGTACAGTATCGACGTCGAGACCCCCGCCAGAACTCGTCCTAACTGGAGAAATGTGTTTGTTGTTGGGAGCAAGCAATAAGCAGATATGACAGAGCGAGAGAGAGAACACACCTGGCTTCCCAGGAAGATAACAAGACAGAATGTGCCACAAAAAACCAGAACAAAACAAATGAAAGACACACATACCAGCAGCAACCGAAAATCCCTCCAGTTTTTCAGTATACAGGCCAATATATAGAGTATGCAGTAAAGCCTGCATGTTGCTTTCCGTCCAATACGATCAGTGAGTGATCCTATGTGTGTCAAGTGTCAAGCGGGAAATGAGAGCCCTATAGAAAGATCGAGTTGGGTTAAACCACTTTCATCCCAAGAAAATGTGTATGACATGTGAGACGTATAAATTTTGAAACCACTCGTGTCAAGGATGGATTCGAATGGGCGTATGAAAATAGGTTTGGAACTTAGGTATATATATAAAACACAGGTTTGTGTGTACAAGTATTTGATATAAAAGTAGAACTCAATATCGTAAGCTCAGTCAAACATCTTACCCACATATGTTCCGAAGATCAGACTCGAGCCGAAACCAGCGATAAAAAGCTGCCCGATTTCCGTCATATCATAGTTGTAATGCCGGCTATATAAGGCATATATGTACGCCCCTTTCATCCAGTCTGCAAACATGGCCGTCAGAAACGCACCGAGATACTTGTACTTGAAAGCCGTGTACTTGGCTCGATCGGACTCCTCTAGAAGGAGAAGGTTCGTCACTTTCTGGTCGGGAGATAGCATTGGCTTTGCCCTGGGCGCCGCTTGTGAGATCCAGTCCTCATGGGCCATCTCACCGTCCATCATAGCTGCAGATGATGCGTTACGAAAGAAAAGACAATTGAGACCTCAGAAGCGCTTACACAAATTGAATACCCTACCGAGCGAAGAGATATAAACAGGCGTATGAGGGGGAGGAGAATAAGGATTTTATAATCGCACTACAAGATAAATTCACTCGGGGCTATTTCAGAGAAGGCAAATGTAAGTGCTCACATACAGATGTGTGGACATGTAATCACATTTCACTGCAGGTTTTGTGGGATTATTGTACTTCTTTGTATATTTATGTAGGTAGACAGGAGTATTCTACTATGCTGCGCATGTAGCGATTGTAATTAGAAGAAACATACGTAGAGAATATAAACAGACGTGTCGCATCCAAAACACACAGTCATATATACTCATTTATGACAATGTATACAGTATATAGCATACATGTATGCCTATGCCTTCATACATATTTCGCCCTACTAGAGGGTGATTCTTTCTCGATACGCACAACAATGCAAAGTACGACTAAATATACACTATATTTAAGATATATATACAAAAACATGTGAATGGATATATAAGAATCTGTTTTAAGTTACGTACTTATGCGAATACTTCTAAGCAAATATCTGTCCGAAATATGCTCACAGATATATATGTATACATACACATACATTCATACATACATATATAAATATATATATATATATATATATATACATATACATATACATATACACACACACATACACAGATATATATATATACATACATACATACATACATACATACATGTACATGTATCTATAAATATATATATATATACACAAACACACACATATATATAGATATAGATACACACACACACAC